GGAAGATGACAAAATTTATCAAAATTTTAATAATTGTATGTTAATATATGAATGACCATTTACAAATATGTGATTGAACATCTACCAAAATAAAAATGAATATTCATTACAAGAATTTTCCACTCCAAACTATGAAAAAGAATAATGCACATTAATACGTGAATGACTATGTGCTAATATATAAACGAACATTTATATTAATCATCTATCAATATGTGAATGATCGCATTCTAATATATAAATGAATATTTATCAAAATAGAAATGAACATTGATAAAATAAAAAATCACAAAAAAAAAAAAATATTCACTATGAATTTAATATATATTTCTATAATCCTACGAAATAAGACAAATTACTCAGAAAATTAAGACAATTAAACTCTACTTTTAATTTTTTATGTCCAGTAATTTTGTAATCTAATAACACACCACAAATTAATTCAACAAGCATACCAAACATCAAAACGACCATAAACTATTATGTAATTGAACATCTACCAAAATAATATTGACCACTCATTAAAAGAATTTTCCACTCTAAGTAACTATAAAAAAAAATGAACATTAATACGTGAATAAACCATGTACTAATATATAAATGAACATTTATGTTAATCATCTATTAACATGTGAATGACCTTCTACTAATAAATAAATGAATATTTATCAAATTGAAAATGAACATTTATAAACCAGAACTTTCCACTACGAACTAAATTTACATTTCTATATCAATGCGAAATTGATCAAAATTTCCAGGAAATTGCGACAACTAAACTTTGTTTTTAATTTTTCGTGTCCAACAATTTCTTATCTAATAATAAATTTTTTTATTATACTGATGTTGATAAATTAAGTACTCATAAGTCAGCAACAAATTAAAAGAGATACAATTATACAAATGATTAGAAGTTAGAACCACAAATTCATCTATAAAAATGGAAATTTCGTTAAATATATTCTGTATTTTAAGCTCTCATCATAGGCTTGCAACAAAGAGATATTCAACTACACAAATGCTTAGAACAACAACAGATTTAATTTTGATGTTTTCTTTCAAAAACTAGTAAAAGTTAGGGTTTATATTTATTTTTCATTCCAAAAAAATGAACAAAAAAACTTACAATTTCGAGTTTCGGAGCTATTTTGGTGATTTTTCCAGTAATTGAGTAATTTCATCTTTTAGATCCGACATTGTATATAATTAATCTACATAAATTTTATTTTTTGGCTTAGTTTTCAGATTTTGAAGCTCTAAATGAGAAAGAAAATGGAGAGAGAGAAAATGAAGAGAGTTTGAAAAAAGGTGAAAGCAAATGATAGTTTGTAATTTTTTTATTTAATTTTTTTTAATGTATATATATGTGTGGGTAGTAGTTACTGTGCAAATTAGTAGTGGGGGTAGTGGTACCGTTTAAGAGGGGGTATAGGTAGAGTTATCTACACTATAATGTTGGCATAAATAATTATCATTATATATAAAGTAATTAATTTGGAGGCTCCAATTTCTCGTAGGCCCTGTTTAATGTCTTATATTCAAAATGGTCATAAGCGGGCCTGATAACAACTTAAGTTATACTTCCTCCATTCTTTTTTATTTGACCCGCTTTGACTTTTATACTATTCACCACCACTCTTTTGACCGTTTTTTGTGAATACTAATATGTAAGGAAAAACATATTTATGTGTGATATTTTTGAATTCGTCTCAATAAGTACTATCATAATATATAACTTTTATAAATTTTACTTATGGAGAATTAAAGTTATTGATCGTTAAAGTTTTACATTGGCAAGCGTGTTAAAAGAAACGAGTCAAATAAAAAAGAAAAGAGGAAGTAACACTATTAGTAGTAAAATCATTTCAATAAATTTATATCTTTGTTGTGTTCCAAATCTTGCTTATACATCTTTTTGTAACATTAAAGTGTCTCTGTATTGTGGATTCTCTCCCATATTTGACTTTATTGCAAAGCCATAGGAGGACATTCAATTTGTCCTCATTTCTAAGCCTATAGAGCTAGCTCATGATAATATGCCGCTTGTTAGCTTGTTGCTGTTGTTGGTTGACTAGTGTTGGTTGGTCCAAAATGATTACGTCTTGTTATTGTTTATTGAATGGTGCTGGTGACTTCATTGTTACACGGTCTTCTTATTGTTTCATCTCCTCTTGTTCAATTGTTGGAACTTGATTCAAATCAAAGTCATTATCATGATGATTAGTATGCACCTTGTTCATTAAAGAAATTTCCATCCTTATAAGGGTTCCAAGCAGCATTGAGGTCATACTTAAAAATATCCCTAACGTTATTAACTTTTGTGTTATCAACACCATTAGCAATATTGTCACCCTTACAAAGTTACAAGGTTTCCAAGCAGCATTCAAATCAAACTTGAAGTCTGAAGCTATCAATGCAGGCAATGATGCTCCCCGTATATTTTCCCGTTTCTTCTCTAAGTGAAGCAAAAATTGGCTCTTTGATGTGTTTTTATGTGATTAAAAAAGCCAGAAGTCTCAAATTTAAGTGATGTAATGGAGGAAAATTTGAAAGTTTTCGTTTCCTAAGCTTTTGCTTAATTAGCAATCACTACAAAAATTAAACCAATTAATGTTAGTCCATTAATTAATGTAAAGCCCAATTCATGTCCCGTTGGTGATGGGTTTTATGCTACAAATTTTTGCCTACACCCCGGGTAGGCAGAGTTGCCTGCACCCCCACTCCTTCCTAATAACGTCATCTTGGTTGTTTTTTCAATTATGAATCACCTAAAAAATGTTCATTTTCATCATTGTAAATGTTCACTTATGTATTATTAAATGTTCATTTCTTTAGAATAATTATTAAATGTTTAATTATGCTAATACGACATGAAATATTCAAATTATTATATTTTTGTATTTGTGTTTCTAGATGACTATTTATAATAGTACTTAAGGGAAAAAGAAAAAGTTCATTACCTTCTTAATAAAATCAAATGAAATTGTATACCACCAATAATTGAACAATTTGATATTAAATTAATGTACAATACAATTCCACATAAACACGATAAAATTTCTCGATCCAAATCGAAAAACTCAAGCTTGTGATATTGGTTCATGTTGCTTGGCGATTCCATGCCTTCTTGGTTTACTTCTTTTGGTCATCTTCTTCTTTTCCTTTCTATTGTACGGTCTTCACTATATGCACGATTCTTTTTTAACTAATATAAAAAAATATTTTATTAGATTTGAGCAAGAATAAATGTCGAAAATGAACCAATTTTCATATGAATATAAACATGAATGAGTATAAAAGTTGACATGATCGATATGAAAATTAACATCTATTAGAATGTAAATGAGCATATGTTAATATATAAATGAACATATATTGGTGTGGAAATGATCATCAACTACCTCCGTTAAATATTAGTTGCAACTTTTAAGTATTATTTGTGAGATATAAAATATTCCAAAGTTGCAACTAATATTTAACGGAGGTAGTATTAATATGAAAATGAACAATTATTAATACATAAATGAACATATTTACTTAATTCAATATGGATATGAACATCTATTGATATATACATGAGCATATATTAGTTTGAATATGACCATGAAAGATAATAATCGATGAACATATACATAAAATATGTTTGGGTCCAAATAACTTCAATTGGGCCGGTCCAAATGTTTTAATTACAAAGCCTAAAAGCAAGGTTCAACTCTCCCCAAAGCATGTCAAGTCAGTTAATGGTCCAGTCAACGTGGCAAGCCCACTTGGTCTAAAGGCCGATTCACCCATTAAGTAAAGGTATAAAAGCCTTCAATTGTCTCTCTTTACATTCATTCACAAAAAATCCTCAATCACTTAATTCTCTTGCATAACTTTCTCTCTTTAACACTATACTGACTTCGGCATCAGAGGGGCCTTCCTCGGCATAACCCTCGAGGCCAGTTTTATGTGTGTTTGCTGTGCAGGAAACCCTCGGCCTAGTCATAACTTGGACCGAGATCAGTCTTCAACCCCAAAAAAGGGCCTAGCCGAAGGCCTTATTGTTTTCAACCGAAAAAATTTGGCGCCGTCAGTGGGGAAAGACATAAAAAAGCAAGCCAAAAATCAACCAATCTTAGCAAAAATGACTAAGAGTGAAAGAGTACTAAGAATAATGATCCTTCCTCTTCGAGGAAAGGTCCAATTATGGTGGGAGGGAATCCACCTATTCCACCATCACCGAAACCTTCTTCGTCTTCTTCGAAAGCTCCTTCTTCCCTGGAAAGGGTAGCGCCGGAGAGGTCACCATCCCACCATACTCGCCAAGTCAGTCCAATGCAAAGAGTCATCCTCGAAGCTTCCATTCTTGGTCTCAACCGAGAGCAACTCCTCAAATGGGGCCCTCTAAAGAGGAAGTGGCGCGAGCCATCGCGGTCTTCATGGACCTCATGTAGGCCCAAGGAGGCAACTTTCCACCAACACCCCGTGATCACTCACCTCTTCTGCCAAGAAACGTGAGAAGGAGGACCGACCACGAGGAAAGTGGACGAGCTCCATCCTGTAAGGAGCTCGGTGATAAGTGGGAGGAGGACACTTGGAGGACCGAAAGGGAAAGGAAAAAGAACCCCCAGTTCTTTGAAAAATCTGGAACTCAGGACTCTCAAAGCTACAAAAGCAGCAATACCGCCTCCGCGTGGCAAGAGCCTGCTCTCCTAAACGTTCACGAACTTCTTGGCTCAAGGGAGGTGAGCGTGCATAGTCGCCTCACCTACCCAGAGGGAACTGAACCTTGTCCCGAGTCGTCACAGCCAGGGATAAAAACCACTTCCATTATTCTGAGAGGGGGAAGCGAGGTCCCGTTGGCTAGACACAAAGGAAAGGCCATAATGGGTCTTAGCAGCTCACCCTTCCAAAGCTAGATTTTGGAAGAACATGTGCCAACAGTAAAAATCCTGGCACTCATAGCTTATGATGGTACTTCGGACCCGAAGGACTACATTGCCTCTTACGAGGGACACATGTACCTGAACCCCAAGTCCGAAGCGACCTGGTGCAAATATTTCCCGACTACCCTTAAAGGTGTTGCACAAGCGTGGATCACCAAGGGAGTAAAGGAAGGCTCAATAACCGGTTGGAAAGACCTCTCCAACAGATTCAAGAGCAAGTTTTCTACAGCGAACCGCCGAGAGAAGACAACTGCAGAATTGATGGGTCTGCAGCAGGGGGAGGACGAGAGCCTCCGAGACAATCTGACTCGCTTCAACAACGAGTTGTTCAGAATTACAAGCCTGGACCAAGGGCTGGCCGTTTTTGCACTGCGGAACGGCCTACAAGCTGGAAAGTTCTTTGATTTCATGGTCATGCATCCACTGCAGACCTTGGAGGAAGCTCTGGATGCCTCGAACAAATACATACGAGCCGAAGAATGGAACAAAACCAAATCCCAGTTCCAATCCGAGGCTGGGAAGGCAAAAGGACAGCAGTCCCAAGGCCAGGGCCAGAGGAAAGGGAAGGCGAAAGCCTCAAAACCGTCCTCAACTCTTGAGCCGAAGAAAGAAAAAAACCCCATATATAGGGAAATATGAATTGTACACTCCTCTCACCTTTCCATGTGCTAAGATCTACAGCATAACGAAGGACGAGTAGAAGTACAAAAAGTCGAGGCCACTACCATTGTGGCATCAGCAGAAAAACAAGGACCGATGGTGTAAGTTTCATGAATCTTCTGGACATCACACCGAGGACTGTATTCAACTGAGGGATTAGATAGAGGATATGGTCCGAAAGGGTTACTTGAAAAAATATCTCGCGAACTGCCGAGAAATATTCTCGGCAAGAGCTGGATTTACCCTGAAAAAAGGACAAGCCGCAAGGCAACAACAATCTTGACATCCTTGTCATTTCCGGATGAATATACTCTCGGAATGCATTAAAACGCCATTTGAGGGGCTTGACCCATCAAGTAAATCATGCTAACATCCAAGCATCCTAGTCTCCGATGCCGAACATCACGTTCACAGCCGAAGACTGCTGGGGGGTGGCATACCCCCATGATGACCCACTGGTAATCGTTACAGCATCACGAACCACAATGTCTGGAGAACTCTCGTCGATGGTGGAAATGGTGCGAATATCCTCTTTCGGGAGGCATTCGACCAGCTGAAATTTGAAACCAAGCATCTGACTCCAGTACCTTACTTGATATCTAGATTCAATGGTTCTTCAACATATCTTGACGGGAAAATTTCTCTTCTTGTCATCATCGTCAAAGACCGAGCAACCCGGAATATCATGGCCGAGTTTTTGGTTGTGGACGTTCCGTCTGTGTACAACGTGATTATGGGGAGACCCATAATTCACGAGATCCAAGGAGTCGTCTCTACGTACCATCAGATGATGATATATGTCTCAAACGAGGGATGCTCCGAAAGAATTCAAGGCAGCCAAAAGGAGGCCTAAAGATGTAATTACCTTAAGCCATCCAAAAGTCGACGCAGTAACATGGATGATGAGGAAGAAAGAGGAAAGGACCGATGCACAAAGTAGCCTAAAGGCTTAAGTGCTTCGGCCCAAGGCACCCCAACACAAGAAAAATATTTAGGGAAAGAAAAAGCTGGTTCCTCATCTGAGCCGAAAGACTCAGAACACCAGCCGAAGTCTGGAAAACCTGTCGATATTGACAGCAGGCTAGATTGTGAAGAGTCCAGCGCCAAAGCAATGGAGCTGGACTAGCAGACTGAGTCAATAGAGTTGACCGAGGGAGACCTTGGAAAATATGTCAGCATCGGGCTCGACCTCCATCCGAATGTCCGTGTTGAGCTTATCCTACTCCTTTGGGACAACCAAGATGTTTTCGCTTTCTCGGCAAGAGACATGCCCGAGATTGACCCAAACCTCATCTCTCACAAGCTTAATGTCGACTCCACCTGTCGGCCGAAGTCTGGAAAGCCTGTCGATATTGACAGCAGGCTAGATTGTGAAGAGTCCAGCGCCAAAGCAATGGAGCTGGACCAGCAGACTAAGTCAATAGAGTTGACCGAGGGAGACCTTGAAAAATATGTCAGCATCGGGCTCGGCCTCCATCCGAACGTCTGTGTTGAGCTTATCCTACTCCTTTAGGACAACCAAGATGTGTTCGCTTTCTTGGCAAGAGATATGCCCGGGATTGACCCGAACCTCATCTCTCACAAGCTTAATGTCGACCCCACTTGTCGGCCGATCAAGCAAAAGAAGCGGATTACTCCGCAAATAAGAACCAAGACATCGCAGCTAAGGTAAAAAGACTCCTGGATGTAGGTTTCATTGAACCCTGTCAGTACCCAGATTGGTTGGCCAATGTGGTGATGGTTCAGAAGGCAAATGACACCTGGAGAATGTGCATTGACTTCACAGACCTAAATAGGGCCTGTCCGAAGGACTTTTATCCCTTGCCGAAGATCGATCAATTAGTCGACTCGATAAGTGAGCATGCCTTGCTTAGCTTCATGGACGCATTCTCGGGGTATCATAAGATCTTCATGCATCCCGACGACCGAGCAAAAACGGCCTTCGTTACAAGCGTCGGGGTGTATAATTATAAAATGATGCCCTTCGTATTAAAAAATGCAGGGGCAACATATCAAAGGCTGTTTGATTAGGTCTTCGCCGAGCAAAAAGGCCGTAACATGGAAGTCTATGTTGACAATCTAATCGTCAAAAGCAAAAAGGACAAGGACTATGTCACGGACCTGGTCGAAACCTTCACCACCCTCTGAAAGCATCAAATGAAGCCGAATCCGAAGAAGTGTGTCTTCGGCATGAAGTCAAGAAAGTTCCAGGGCTTCATGGTCATCAAAAGGGGGATTGATTCCAATCCCGCCAAAGCACAGACAACGCTTGATCTTCTCGAGCCAAGAACAAAGAGGGACGTTCAGCGTCTCACTGGGAGAATGGTTGCCCTGTCCAGGTTCATCATCAGAGCCTCGGACAAAGGGTAACCCTTCATCAAAGCGATGAAACTCTTAAAATCCAAAGAGCTCATTTACGAAGACGAGCAAAAAGAAGCCTTTAAGAAACTCCGTGAGCATCTAGCCTAACTCCCGACTCTGGCACCGAGCTGAATGAAAAACTTTGTACTTATATGTGACAGTTAGCCCAACCACTATAAGCGCGTTTTTGCTAAGGGAAGAAGAAAAAGTTCAGCAACCGATCTATTTCGTCAGACACACTTTGACGGATGCCGAGACTCGCTACTCCCTACTCGAAAAAGTTGCATATGCAGTAGTGGTAGCCACTCGCATTTTGATTGCCTTCAAATAATGGTATTGACTGATCAGCTGCTGGAAAAAGTACTCGGCAAAGTTGAAAAATCTGGTAGGCTAGAAAAGTGGGCCTTCGAGCTCACTGAGTTCAATATCAGCTACTAGCCGAGAACATCCATCAAGGCTCAGGCCTTGGCGGACTTTGATAGGCCGTCGTCGAGCCTACCAAAATATAAATTCCTATCTTGGTCTCACTAACTAATAGCAAGGGTAAGAAAGGGTCGAACCCAAGAGAGGCGTTAAATCAACCACCGAGGTACTACCATTTAAAAAAGCTAAATGAAGTCTAAGTTGGTTTGGTTCTGAGTAACTTCTACTAATTCAATTAAACTAAAGCTAGGAGGAGATTAACAATATTTAAAGGAATCTAAGGCTCGGGTTATAACACTCAACTTCATCACAAATCACGATTAGCATGCAACAATTAAGGTAAGTTAAAAGGATAAATTAGGGGAAATCCTCTAAGGCACCCAACTACTCTCTCAAGCTAGAGGGATTACTTGAATCATGAATACAGCCTACTCTCGTGGTTACAAAGCATAAAACAAGGGTTAAAGCATAATCACGATGGCATAAACATTCCCTTGACCGGAAATTCCTATTCTCATGGCATTTCAAGTCCATTAAGCATAAGGGAGCTAACTCAAGTTCATCTCTCGATCCTTCGTTGAGAAAGCTTGGATAAATAGTTCTAGCAATGGCCATATACAAGAACTAAGCAATTAAACCACTTAAGCTCAACTAATTAACACCCAATAATTACCCAATTATTACATGCAACAAGAAATTAGTGACTGCATTGAGGGTTTTACACAAACCCTAGAAATTAGACTACTCACAATCCACGGAGATTAAAGCAATTAAAGATTTCAAGCAATTCATGAACAAATTCAAACTAAGGATTATGCTAATTAAAAATCTAAGCATGCAAGCATTAAGCAAGTAATTAACAACAAAGTAGAGAGAAATGGAAGAGAAGTGTAAGAAAATAGTTACTATGAAGCTTCAAAGTGAGCAACAATGGTGGAACTTGTCTTCAACAATGATTGAAGTTGAATATTTCCAAGCTAATAATTAGAATCTAACTAATGATTTGAGAATTTAATGTTCTAGGATTGCAAAACTAAGAGAAAGCTATAAAAACCTTGATGATCTGTACAAATGAGCTCAAAGGGGGTATTTATAAGACCCCCAAATAAAAAGGACTGAGAAAACAAGAATCGGGCTCAACTGCAGGTCGGCACGGACGTGCCAGGTCTGGCACGTACGTGCAGCCTTAGCTACACGGGCGTGTTGCCCTGTGCACAACCGTGCAGGGCATGTAAGTAGCTACTGTTTATGTTGGAAATCATGCACGGGCGTGCTAATTTAAGCACGGCCGTGCAGCCTTCTTTACACGGATGTGCCAACTTAAGCACGACCGTGCAAGCCTTAATAGAAGGTTTTTACTTGCTGGAGCACTCCTGCACGGTCGTGCAGATATCTACACGGACGTGCTGGGTATCTTGCACGGACGTGCCTAAATTTGCACGGATGTACAGGGCAAGGCAGAAGCTCTTATGTTGTTGGAGCACTCCTGCATGGACGTGCAAGGCCTGGAACGGCTGTGCAGGCTCTTCTAAGCCCTTTTCTTCGTCTTTTCTTCGATATAGCTCTTTTCCTTGGCTTCTTTCTTCCATATTCTTGCTTCTAACCTCGGTTTAGTATCCATGGGCTTCATTTGGTCATATTTGGACCTAGAATCTCAACAAAAACACTAACAACCCGTGAAGCATTGGATACACAAAAATTGCATAATAATAGAGTAAAAGTGAACCAAAAGACAAATTTATCAAGTAAACTAGGTTCAAAAACACCATAAAATCATATCAAATAGCAAGTTATCAAATCCCTCCAAGCTAAGATTTTGCTCGTCCTCGAGCAAAACAAACATGTCAAACCAAAGGAGGAAAACAACTTGCTAACATCAAACCAAGGAGAGGAAACAAGGAGGAAGCACAAATACACAAATCCGCATGGTGACAACCATAATCACTTTTCGCATAAGTGAGAAGCAATTTAAACCTCTAAGTCACCTTAGAGGACGAGTTTTTATCTCGTGAGGGTTTCCATTAAGCTTAACCCACAACTCACACAAACCACAACAGAACTATCAAACTACACAAATTCCAATGTTTTTATCACCCAAGTCAACTCATTGGGATATAAATCACAAGCAAGTCAAGTGAGCAACTTTCAAGAATTACCAATCATAAAAATGTACACATGAGTTGGGGGTAAAGAGG